TTTAGCACAACTTGATTGTCCATAACGGCGGTACATCATCTGAGAAGGACAATGCCCCCCAGCTCTGGCCGACACTACTGAGGCGGGGACCAGTAGGAAGACTATTTTCCACGTCAAAAATTTGAGTGGTGCTTGATCAGAGAGGCTCAAAAGGCGGTCTGCTTAGAGCGGACAACACAGCCGACAAGTCCCAGTTGGGCAGTTCCCTTGCATGGGGTCTCAGCGTCTGGAAAGCAGTAAATAGTCTCTAATAGTAGGACAATCGGTTAGTCTTGTTCCTGTACGTTTGAATGGTGGGGCACAAGGCCGACCTGTAGCCAACGATCGCTGCGTAGGACAAACCCACTTCGTCAAACAGGTGGACGAAGGAGCCTGCTACCTGGCCAATAGAGGGATGGTATCGATCAATCTCCCTTCTGCTACACTAACCAGTGTATGCTCGCAGCCTATAAATGTAGGCTGCATTGGTGGAATCCCTGTTCGCCCTGGCCAGGACGTTGGCAGCCCGCTCAGATAAAGCTTTCGTATGTGCGGGTCTAATGAGAACATCTATGCGGGTAAGTGATACCTGCTGGGCTCGTGGTAGTGCACCGTCTGGTTGGGACGGCATGTCCGGTAAGTCCGGAAGCACTGCTGGTGTTTCGACTATCGTTTCCGACAGAAGGAGTGTTACGTACGTTGGGAGCTTGGTGTTCCGGGGTGAGGCAAACGGTCTAACCTTGGACCGTCCACAGCCGAAACAGCCTGGAGGCTACCCACTGGGGTATCAGCCACTCCGTGTTCTGGAGACGGAGTCGCCCTGAAAGGGTGTCGCCAGACTGTTCCTCACCCCTGGAAGGTGGTGTGCGGTTAGCTCCACATTGTATTCCAGGCACCAAAGGAGGATTTTGCTCCGCTAGGACTGACAACGATGGGGAATGCGTCCCCCCCTTCTTCTTGAAGGAGACCACCGCTGCGTTGTCTGTGCGGAGCAGGACTCTGTGGTCTCGAACTACGGGTAGAAAGCGTGGTAGTGCTAAGTACACTGCTCACAGTTCGAGCCGGTTGATATGGTGGTCCCGAAACAATGCGGGAGCCATATCCTTGGGCTTGTTTGTCCAATAGATGCGCTCCCAACCCTGGGGGGAGGCATCTGTTACCAGAGTCATACCTGCGGCGAGCGGGTCCAAGGGGGCCCCCTCTGCCCGAGGTTGGTCAGTGACGACCACCAGGGCAGGGCTTTCTTCACTTGGTCCGAGATCGAAACCTGCCTATCTAGTTCCCATAGGAGAGCTCGGCGTTATAACAAGCGTTATACCGGGCGGCTGCGTAGTGCGGCCTGGGGAACGACCCTTCGAACCGAGGTCATCATTCCGATGATCCGCATTA